ATATATATATATATATATATATATACATATGACATACCATATTTTTTAAAATATGCGAGGCTCTGTAAACTTGTTTTTTGTTTAATAACTCATTCACCCAATTGTCTACTTCTTTGTTGAAATATATACATGCTTGCTCTACAGAACAATTTCTTCTGCATGCAAGGCACTTATAAGCTAGTTTTATATGAGTTCCTTTGGCAGAAGCCTCTCTCACAAGCTCTCTGTCTCCTAGTATACGCCATCCTGACCATATTGCTGCTTGTTGTCCAGTTAAACACTCCACAGGAATACCACCAATCGTCTTTTTCTCAGACATTTTGCAATGTGGTCTTCATAGCAATTTATTAATCCATTAGTATTCTAATATAATTTACAATTTAATAAAACTTGTTTGATAAATAAACACGAAACAAATTATGATTATACAAGGAAGAAATTAAGATATTTTCAAAGTATAAACAATTACTTTTGAAAAATACTTTGTAGATTATATACTATGTTGTTAAATCACGTCTGATTAATTTTCATTGTATTATTATATGTAGATAACTTGTTTTAAATACACGAATTTTTATAAAACCGAGTATCATGAAATTATTATATTTGTTTGATATTTGTTTTATCACAAAATTCAACACAATGTAACAGGAGATTAGGTTTCACAAAATTCACAATGTAACAGGAGGTTAGGTTAAATTAAAAAAACCGCTACAAAAGCTGAATATTCATTCATACATCACATTCACACTCTGTACACACAGGCACTCACAATAATTACTTAATTATGTAAGTTATTGTACTCTTTTATTGGGAATATTAGTCACATTTCGATTACGTTGTTTATGAAAAACTCTACTGTCAATTCTCGGTGCCTCTCTGACAGCACCAATTTAACCAGCAATCGGTAAAAATCACCAGTAATCAGCTGACATATCAGTTGTCACATTACTATACGTGATTCCTATTGAACAAATATAAAACAATATTAGCAATATTAATAACAAAAAAACATTATTTAAATCGTTTTAAATATTATACTATTCTTTAATTTTATATTCTTTACATTTTTTAAAATAATTAACATATAAATCAATATGCGATATTATATTTTTATGTTGCAACAAAATTTAGATTTTTCTCGAGGAAAAAGACTTGAAAAATTTATTAATTTTTTCATAATAAATATTTTGTTAAAAATTAATTATCTTATTATAATGCTTACGTGTCGTCTGTGAGAATTCTACAGTGTGAAGGAGACATTATATTTGACACTATTCCTTTACACATTTGCTATAATATTTCTATTATATTTATACCACTAACGTTCGAAGAAGGCTTAGGTATGCAAAACTTGTTTTCAATACCTAATAAAAAATTACATTAGAGTAATACATAATAATTTTTTATATAATTTAGTTTATTAACCACAATCTTTTACAAACGACACATATAGAAAAGCAAAAGTGCTCCCGAGTATATAACTTCTCGATATATATCTCGATATATATTGATTATTGGATTTTTCTGAATTTTTTCCAGATTAATTTCAAGTAAATGTTGTGTACAATTTCTTACATTTCCAAATGTTGCCAATGATAAATCTATCATTCTACCAGCGGTGAGCTTTATGGGATGGCTGGACATTGCGATCACTAAAACTAGATTACGAATTGACTTTGTCGGCAGTTGATACCAAGTAGTCATGAAGCACCTTGTCCCAATCTGACTACTCTGCAATTTTTAGTCCGCAAAGAATATTCGATTTATTTTTTTTGTTATAGATTTATTCAAAAATCGAAAAACCAATTGTTACAAAATTTACATAAATTCAAATATTTAGATAAATTTACCTTCTCTACAAGTTGCTCGCCGATGTAACATAATATATACATATTGAAGCAGAATGAAATAAAGAGCATAAAATAAATTAGTAGCCCTAGTGCATCACTATCCTGCCAGTCCTATTAAAAATTATAAGTAACAAATATGAATTTCATTTTTTTTTTTTAAAGAAGAAATTAGCTTTCTTTTTCTTAAATATATATTAGAACGCACCACTATGCAATAATATTCAGGCAAACACATTGTAAATATGGAACTAATGAATTCCAATAAACATACTTCTTGCAGAATTTCTTCCACGGCAGAAGAAAATCTGAAATAAAATGCTATTACTCTTGTATGAAAACTTTTATGACTTATTTTATTTTCAACATTATCGGATTTTTGCATACAAATATACCGAAAATACTAAAAAAGTTTTATTAATCTCCAATAATTTTCACATAAACAGGATTTGTATAATACTATTTAATAAATATCAAGAAGAATTTTTGTTAGAGTTAATCTGGATCATGTCAAAGTAAGCAGAAAACATAAGAACATCAAGAACATAAGACAACAGCTTACTCTAAATGTGACCGAGGTAATGCGATCGTAATGCGACTCTATATTGTAACAAGATATATAGACTTCATATTATAACAAAACTCTATATTGTAACAAGATGTGTTGTACGTGCTCACTTGCACGGTTTAGATCGATTAGATTGATGTATAGTAGAAAAATATACATTGAGGATATAATACTCGCGCATACTCACGGTTTACGCATGTTCTACAAGTATTCAACTACACCATCCACTGAAATGTGTTGGTGGCTTGTTAGATGCACCTGTTGCATTTATCAACTTTTTGCACGTTGTGCAACACGTGATAGAAGTTATATATATATATATATATAATAAAATGCAAATTTTTTTATTCGAAAAGAACATTTTGAACACTGAGATTTAAAACTTTTTCTATACAAATTTGAAAATATATTTTTTTAATGACAAAAATTCTAAATCTTTTTAAAGAAGAACTCGAATTGTGTCGATTATAATTAATTCAATTAATGCAATGTATTCTGTTAATTATGTAAAAATTCCAGAACTGGAGTGGATATGAAAATATATATAATATGAATAAGAAAATATAAGGACGGAAATTAAAATTTTATAAATAATACTTTCTCACTTTTTTGAGTTTATTATTTGATAATTTTAAATTCTGGAATATTGTCCAAAAATATCATAATTTAAATTAGTACTGCTTAAAATGATAAAAATGATTAACAATTTTATATAATACAATCGCAAGATTAAAGCACTTTTCTCAACTTCAGAGTTTACTTTTATATTTTATCAATACTTTAAAAAAATGTGTCAAGAACTTTAAAACTATTTTGAGAAATGAAAACTCCATTAATTACATTGAATTTCTGAGAATATAAAAATTAATTTTCCAAAGAGATATATAACTATATTACCTCAATATTCGAACATGACTTTTTACGATGTGAGCGATTCGTTGATTAACATCCAACAATTGCTCAAAGTTTTTGTCGCGCGAAAGATCCTCAAGTCGAGATACTATCATCTGGATTTGGCCACATGCGTGAGTGGCGAATATTGCTGCCAATCCGCACGATCCGGCTGTCACAGAACATATAGTGTATCCGCACATCCAATGAGCCAGATACGTCATTTCGTATACCGGACTCATTTGGGTATTTAAAAATTTACTATACGTCGGATATACGAGCGGTCTAATGGTTTGGTTGCCGACCTTATGCTCGGTACAAAACGGCAGAATCGTATGATATATGAATTCAGGGAGATATAGGGAAGTAGCACTGATCATAGACAGTCTACGACCGGTGGTGGCGTATTTCAGCATCATTTCACGATCAGAGTCGAATTTTACCTATTACAATGTTGAAAACATATTTATTGAAAGAGATAAGCGATAAAATAACTAATATGTATTTATTGTCAAAATTATAAGATTACGTTAAAATTATTTGTAAAGAATATTATAAGATGTATTTCAATACGTTTTACAAATATGAAAAAATATGAAAAAACATATGTGCTAGCTATGAAATTAAATATAAATCTTATTGACGCATAAAATCTGGATTTAAATCTAATTTTAATAATAATTTAATTAAAGAAAATCATATTTCTGATTTTGCAACATTGGCACATTTTACGACGCTAAATTTTAATGTTTAATTCGTATTAATTCATGTAAACAATGTGGTAAAAATTACATGCTAAATTATAAAATAAATGACATTTATGAGATTAAAATAATTGTTCAAAAATATTCACTTAAAAAGCCAACACTTCGTCGCGCTTAATTCTTCTCATCACGAAAAAATTAATCATCACTTGTTATCGTTACTAATAAATTTTTTTCTGTCGATTCAATTCTGTCAGATTTTATATATCGACAACACCGACCTGCCACCAGTCACTTTTCACGTGTTCGATGCAACGCAATATTTTTGGCCGATGAATCATGAGGACACAATACTTCATCAATGCAGTGCAACAAAAACCCAGCAGGCCAAAGAGTTTCAGTCTCAAGTTGAGATCCTTCTCATCATAAATCATGTACAGAATGCAGGGCACTATCGCGAAAATTAACGCAAAATTACACAGCAAGATCGCGATTTTAGATGCATGTAGCCCGATTCCGCCAATCGCATGAGGCCAGATGCCGATCGAGCCGAGGATCCAGTTACCCGGTTTAAAAATGTATTGTATATCCTGCTGATAATTGACATTAGATGATCTCGTATGTTTGTCTTGTGAGTTTTCCATGTTTGCGATGACAGATCCCGTTGAAGACTGCACGAAGTAGACGCGCGACATTGATTGCCGGACATGCGCTTGCGCTCACATTGCAGACATCCTTTTGTAACGCACGTAAGTCACCGTATACAGTTAGATTGTGCGCGATTAACATTGCGTGAAGTGTGTCTGTTCGGAATGCTAGCATAAAAACATATATATTAATTTTTGCAGAGAAGTGGTATTAACAAAGATGAATTTTTTCTTATTATAGTTCTTTGAATGTTGAGAATGCAAGATTAAATTAAAACACGATATAAAGATAGATCACTGATAAAATAGGTGTGCACGTGTGTATTATTATTAAAAATTTTATATTATTTATACGCCATTCATCCCTACGTTACGTTTGTACAAACGCTCACAATAATTATTGAATTATACAAGTTATCGTATTCTTTTATCGGGAATATTAGTCATATCTTGATCACGTTGTTCTCGAAAAGCATAAATTTGCGTCTATCTGACAACAACAATTTAATCAACAATTGGTAAAAATTACCAATAGTCAATTGCCAGCAATTTCATTATTTTACGTGATTCCTATTGAATAGATATAAAACAATAATATTAGCAGTAAATATTATTTCATCTTTTCAAATGTTAGGCTTTTTGTAATTTTCTATTTTTTACATTTTTTTAAATAATTACATGTAAATGTACAAAATCAGTACGCAATACTGTATTTTAAATATCATTTGAACAATATATTTTCATTGCGATAAAATTTATATTTCTGTTGGAACAAGAAGATTTATAATAAAATTAATTAAAATTTGAAAATTAATTTTTTATAATAAATATTTTGTTAAAAATTAATTATGTTAAAATTCTCGCGTTTAGTCTATAAGGATTCTACTGTGAAGATGTTACATTTTACCTTCACACATTTGCTATAATTCTTTTTATATTTATACTACTAATGTTCGAAGAAGACTCAAGTATGCCAAACTTGTTTTGAGTACCTAATAAAAAGTAACACTAGATTAATACACAATTTTTTATAACTTAGTTTATTAGTAATAATCTTATAAAAGACACATGTAGAAAAAATAAAAGTTCTCGCGAGTATTTTGAGTAAATATAATTTCTGGAAATATACTGATTGTTATTTAACTGTTTCTAAATTAAATAATTTTTTTGTCATCAAGCATAATTTTAAATTAATGTTCCATACAATTCCTTACATTTCCAAATGTTGCCAATGATAAATCTATCATTCTACCAGCGGTGATCTTTATGGGATGGCTAGACATTGCGATCACTAAAACTAGATTACGAATTGATTTTGTCGGCAGTTTATACCAGGTAGTCGTGAAGCACTTCGTTCCAATTTGACTACTCTGAAATGTTAAATCCACAAAAAATGTTCGAACTATCCTAAATTTTATTTATTTCTTATTACAGCTTTCTTCAAAGCTCAATCAATCGTTACAAAATTGAAATATTTAGATAAATCTACCTTCTCCACAAGCTGCTCACCGATATAACATAATATATACATGTTGAAGCAGAACGAAATGAAAAGCAGAAAATAAGTCGTTAGTCCCACTGCATCGCTATTTTGCCAATCCTAAAAATTAATAAGTGATATATATGTAATTGTATTTATTTTTTCTAAAAGAGATTAGCTTTTTTTTTAAATATATATTAGAGCGCACCACTATACAGTAATATTCAGGCAAACACATCGTGAATATGGAACTGGCGAATTCCAATAAACATACTTCCTGTAGAAGTTCTTCTACGGCGGTAGAAAATCTGAAATAAACTGTTGTTACTTGTACATGAGAACTTTTATGAACCATTTTATTTTTAACATTATTAGATCATTACAAATATATCGAAGATATTATAGAAAAATTATTATTCCTTAATAACTTTGGCGGAAGGAGAATTTGCAATAATATTTAATAAATATTGAGAAACATTTTTTTCTTTTTATTAAAGTTAATTAAGGGTTCTAACAAAATAAGGGTAAGTGATTACAAACACGAAAAGTAACTTGCTTTGAGTATAAACTATATTATACTGATAATGCAACTCTATATTGTAATAAGATGTTTGTTCGTGCTGGTTTGCACAGTTTAAATCGATTAGATTATACACAGTAGAAAAGTAGATATACGTTGAGGTTATAATATCGCGTATTCATAATTTGCGCATGACAATACATACATCTACATTGCATACATCTACAAGTATGCAATTGTACCGCCCATTGGAATGTATTGGTTTGCAAGACGCACCTGTTGCATTTACCAGTCTTTTGAATGCTGTGCAACAAGTGATAAAGCTGATGTATATTATGTGCAATGCAAATTTTTTTATTCGAAAAAATTGTTTTGAGTTCTAATTGTTTCTAATAATCACAACTTTTTCTGTATGAATGTTCTGTTTGAAAATATTTTTCTATGACAAAACATTAAGTTTTTTTTTTTTTTAAAGAAAAGCTCGAATTTTGTCAATTATAATCAATTCAATGTAATGCACTGTATCAATTATGTCTACTATCGAAATTCTAAAAAAGAAGTGGATATAATAATATATATAATATGATTGTGAATACGAAGATAAAAATTAAAATGTTATGAATAACTTTTTTCGCAAACTTTGAAAAAATTTTTATACAATTATATATTATTTATATAATACAAACATAAACATAAGATTGAAACATTTATCTTTATTCTCAGGGATTTATACGTATCAATACTTTCTACAATACAATATCAAGAATTTTTAATATATTTAAATATATATTTTAAAGCGAATAAAAACTCTATTAATTACATTGAATTTTTGAAAATATAAGAATTAATTTCACAGAAATATATATAACTGTATTACCTCAATATTCGAACATGACTTTTTACGATGTGAGCGATTCGTTGATTAACATCCAACAATTGCTCGAAATTTTTGCCGCGCGAAAGATCCTCAAGTCGAGATATTATCACCTGGATTTGGCCACAAGCGTGAGTGGCCAATATTGCTGCCAATCCGCACGTTCCGGCCGTCACTGAATATATGGTGTATCCGCACATACAGTGAGCCAAGTACACTATTTCGTATACCGGACTCACTTGGGTGTTAAAAAACTTACTATATGTTGGATACACCAGCGGTCTAATGGTTTGATTACCGATCTTATGCTCGGTGCAAAACGGCAGAATTGTATGATAAATGACCTCAGGGAGACACATGGAAGTCGCGCTGATCATAGACAATGTACGACCGATGGTGGCATACTTCAGCATCATTTCACGATCAGAACTGAATTTTACCTGTCACAATATTCTAAACATTTTTATTAAAGAAAATGAGTGATAAAATTCTTAATATGTATTTATTGTCAAAATTACAAAATTAATTCTAAAAAGCATTATAAATGTACTTTAATCTTGACTCCAATATGTTTTATATATATAATATGAAAAAAACACACAAAATGTCGCGTTCGCGGCACTCGCACAATAATTGTAATTAAATATAAATCTCGTCGATGTGATTCGTAAAATTCGAATTTAAAATAATGGTTGCAATAACAGTTTTAATTAAAGAAAATCGTATTTCTGATTTTGCAACATTGATATTTTATTGCAATTCTGAATTTCAATTTGTAGTAATCATATAAGCACTGCAATAAAAATTAAATGCTAAGAATATAAAATAAATGAGATTTTTAATTAACTGTTCAAAAATATTTAGTTAAAAAGTCAACATCGTCGCGCTTGATTTTTCGCATCGCAAAATAGAAGAAAAAAATGTCACTTGTGATCATTATGCTGATAAATGTTTTTTGTCGATTCCACGTTGCATTTTATGTATCGATGACACTGACCTGCCACCAATCACTCTTCACATGTTCGATGCAGCGCGATATCTTTGGCCGATATATCGTAAGAACGCAGTACTTCATCAGTGTAATGCTACAAAAACCGAGAACTCCAAAGAGCTTGAGCTTTATATTGAGATCCTTCTGATCATAGATCATGTTTAGAAAGCAGGGTACTATCGCGAAAATTAATGCAAAATTACACAGCAGGATCGCGATCTTAGATGCGTGTCGACCGATTCCGCGGATCGTGAGAGGCCAGATGCCGATCGAGCCGAGAATCCAGTTACCCGGTTTGAAGATGTATTGTATGTCCCGCTGATAATTGATATTCGGTGATATCGTATGTTCCTCGTGTGAGTTTTCCATGTTCGCGATGAGAGATTCCGCTGAAGACTGCACGAGATAGACGCACGACATTGATTGCAAAGTGTCGGACATGCGCTTGCGCTCCGTGTGTTGCGGTCATTCTTCTGCACATATACTCACAACCCATAGTCTGTGCGCGATTATCATTGCAGTGAAGTACTTGTTCCGGAATACGCACATAAAAACGCATTTCTTGCAGGGAAGTGTTTTAAGAAAAACAAATTTTTTTTCTATCATAATTCTTTGAATGTTGAACATGAAAGTTTAAAGCACTCCACAGAAATGCCGTCAATTATTTTTTTCGCACATCTTTTTGCGATATACAACATGGTCTTCATATAATTTGGTTTGTGAATGTGCTCATGTCCTAATACAATAATTAGATAATAATATAAAGTTAATATAAAATTTAATATAAAGTTAATAAAAAATTAAATTAAATGTAAAAAAATAATAATAGTAATATAAATTTAGTATAAAATTTGTGTGATAAATGAATAAGAAAGGAATTATGATTGTACTAAAAAAAGCATTTAAGATATATTTTTATAAAATATATGCAATTTCTATTGGAAAATATTTTGTTGTGAATTATATATTATATTGTTAAGTGACGTCTGATTAATTTTCGTTACATTATTAGTATATACAGACAATTTATTTTAAAGACACGAATGTAAGATCGCATATTATAAAATTCTTATGTAGATCTTCGTTATACGAGAAATTCGCAATATAGATAAGTTAGACTAAATTAAAAGAATAGCTGCGAGAGAATTCATTCATTCATATATTCGTACTTTATACAGACACTCACAATAATTATTTAATTAACAAGTTATTGTATTCTTTAATTGGAAATATTAATCACATTTTCATCATGTTATTTATGAAAAGCTCTACTCATTTACTGCCTGCCTGACAGTAATAATTTAACCATCAATCAGTGAAAATGATCATTAGTCACCTGACAGCTCTTCATTTTATGATGTGACTCCTATTGGATAGACATAAAACAATTATTTTAGCATTACAAAAATATTATTAAGTCGTTTTAGATATTATATTTTTTTAAATATTTTTATCCTTATTCTCCTTTTTTAAATAATTATGTATAAATATACAAAAACAATACTATATTATATTTAGAATATCACTTGTCCAATCGATTTTTAAATTGCGATAAAATTTATATTTTTCTCGAGAAAAAGGAGGATAAAAAAATTATTCATTTTTTCTAATAAATATTTCGCAAAAATTAATTAAAAATTAATTGTTTTACTGAAATACTCACATTTGATTTAAACGGATTCTATAATCTGAAAGAGACATTACATTTGACATTATTTGTCTATAGATTTGCCATAACATTCCTATTATATTTACACCACTAATGTTCGAAGAAAACTTAAGTACGCCAGACTTGTTTTGAGTACCTAAATAAAAAGTCACATTAGAATAATACATAATAACTTTTTTTAATTTAATTTATTATCCACAATCTTTTATGAGGGATCTACACAAAGAAAATGAAAGCGCTTCTTTGTAAATAATTTTTCGATACTGATTATTATTTAATTCTTCTATATTCTTTGCCATCAATTTAATTTCAAGGAAACGCTCTATACAATTTCTTACATTTCCAAATGTCGCCAATGATAAATCTACCATTCTACCAGCGCTAAACTTTATAGGATGGTTGCTCATTGCGATCAGTAAAACTAGACCGCGAATTGACTTTGCCGGCAATTGATACCAAGTGGTCATAAAGCACTTTGTCCCAATCTGACTACTCTGAAATGTTAAATCCATAAAAAAATGTTCGACTTATTCTGAATTTTATCAATATTTTATTTTACTCAAAGATCCAATAATTATGTTGTTACAAAATTAAGTGTTTACATGGATTAAATAATCTACCTTTTGCACCAGCTGCTCCCCAATATAACATAATATATACATATTGAAACAGAATGAAATAAACAATAAAAAGTAAGTCGTTAGTCCCACTGCATCGCTATCTTGCCAATCCTATTAAAGATTATAAATAACAAATTTTATTCATTTTTTTTTTAACGAAATTAGCTTTCTTTTTTTTAAATGTATATTAGAACGCACCACTATGCAATAATATTCAGGCAAGCACATTGTGAATATAGAACTGGCAAATTCCAATAAACATACTTCCTGTAGAACTTCTTGTACGGCGGCAGAAAATCTGAAATAAACTGCTGTTAAACTTATACATGAGAAATTGACTTTTATGGATTTCATTTTCATTACTTTTAGATCATTACACAAATATAATGAAGATTAAAATAGGTTTTTTTCTATTATTATTATACTTATAATAATAATTTGGACAGAAGGGGTGTTCATATAAAATAATAGGGGTGTTCATATAAAGAATTTTATTTAAAAAGAATTAAAAAGGTTTTTTTTTTATTACAAAGCTATATTGATCCTGGTCTAGATAAAGCGAGTGAGTACAAACACGAATAAACAACTTACTCTTAATGCACGATGTTGTAATATAAGTTCATATTGTAATAAGATGCTTGTTCATATATTTGTTTGTGCTCGCTTGTTTGATTTAGATTTGGTTATATGTAGTAGAAATATAAATATATATGTCGAGGATGTAATAGCGCATGCTCATAGTTTGCACATGCTCTATAAGCATGCAATTGCTCCGCCCACTAAAATTGCAAATTCGTTGGACGTACCTGTTGCATTTACCAGCTTTTTGCACGATGTCCAACACGTGAGAAAAATTATATATTATATAATAAAAATTTTTTACTCAAAATAATCGTCTTATGTGCTAATGAGTCAAAATATTTTCTGTATGAATTTAAAAATGTTTCCTCTATAACAGACCTCTTTTTAGATAAAAGCTCTCAACTCTATCTGTTATGTCTAAATTATATTAAAATTTTTGAAATGTAAAATGTACGTGAAAATGCATGTGAATATGAAAAATTAAAATTTTATGAATAACATTTTTTTCGCGAATTTAGTATTTTTCAATAATTTTAAAGAATCTCTGAATACTGTCGAAAAATATCACAATTCAAATTGCTATTGGTTAGAGTAAAAAAAATTATTAATTTTTGTAGAAAATTATTAATTAATTTTTGTATAATACGAAATTAAAGCACTCTCATCAGGGTTTTATATTTAAGCCATACCTTTTAAAATGTATGAAGAATTTTAAAGTTCTTTTGAGAGTAAAGTTAAAACTCTAATAATTATATTGAAATTATGAAATTGTGAAAATTAATTTTACGTATATAACTATGTTACCTCAATATTCGAACATGACTTTTCACGATGTGAGCGATTCGTTGATTAACATCCACAAATTGTTCGAAGTTTTTGCCACGCGGAAGATCCTCAAGTCGAGATTCTATCACCTGGATTTGGCCACACGCGTGAGTGGCGAATATTGCTGCCAATCCGCACGATCCGGCTGTCACTGAATACATGGTGTATCCGCACAGGCAGTGAGCCAGATACACCATTTCGTATACCGGACTCGTTTGGGTATTAAAAAACTTACTATATGGTGGATACACGAGCGGTCTAATAGTTTGGTTGCCGATCTTATGCTCGGTGCAAAACGGCAGAATCGTGTGAAAAATGAATCCAGCGAGATACATGGAAGTTACGCTGATCATAGACAATCTACGTCCTGTAGTGGCATACTTCAGCATCATTTCACGATCAGAGTTGAATTTTACCTGTTACAATTTTGCAAGCATATTTATTAAAAGAGATGAGCAATAAAATGGTTACTATATACTTATTGTCAAAATTGTAACGTAGAATTTTCGGAAAAAATATTATGTTATTCGGGAAACACATTAGATGTGTAAGATGTACTTTAATACATTTTGCAAATATATTCAGAAAAGATATACGCTGGCTATGAAATTAAATTTAAATTTTGTCGTTAGATAAAATGTGGATTTAAATCTGATCGCAATAATAGTTTTAATTAAAGAAAATCACATCTCTGCTTTCGCAATATTAACGCATTTATTGCGACGCTGAATTTCAATGCTCAATTTGTGTTAATTCTGTAAGCAAGCGGTAAAAATTATATGCTAGAACATAAAATAATTGACGAAGATTGTAATAATTGTTCAAAAGTATTCACTTAAAAAATCAATCGTTGTATTTGACTTTTCACTAAATAGAAGAAATAAACCATTATTTGTTATCACTATATTGCTAAACTTTTTTTGTCGCTTTCACATCACATTTTATGTATTAACTGACCTGCCACCAATCACTTTTCACATGTTCGATGCAGCGCATTATCTTGGGTCGACGCATCGTGAGGACGCAATACTTCATCAATGCAGTGCTGCAGAAACCCAGCAGACCAAAGAGCTTCAGCCTTATGTTGAGGTCCTTCTGATCATAGATCATGTGTAGAACGGAGGGCACTATCGCGAAAATTAACGCAAAATTACACAGCAGGATCGCGATCTTAGATGCGTGTCGACCGATTCCGCGGATCGCGAGAGGCCAGATGCCGATCGAGCCGAGGACCCAGTTACCCGGTTTGAAGATATATTGTATGTCACGTTGATAATTGATGTTCGGCGATATCGTATGTTCGTTCTGTGAGTTTTCCATGTTCGCGATGACAGATTCCGCTCAAGACTGCACGAGGTGAACGCGCGGCATTGATTGCGAAGTCGCCGGACATGCGCTTGCGCTCGTGTTGCGGTCATCCTTTCGTCTGTTGATAGTCTGACAGATCGTGTGTGTGCGACAGGAGAGCAGTCGTGCACAGTGCGTACTTTACGACTTGTTAGTTCTAGTTTGAAAAGGGACTTCTGTCATTTCATTTAAATTTTATTTATCTGTGTTTGAATATTGAAGATATCAGAAAAGTCAAAAACAAAACTAAGAAAATTATACAAAATTTAAATACTTCTGTTTTATTAAAGTTAGATTGTTTATTACCATACGAGAATTAAACAAATAATTATTTGATGATAGGAATAATTTAGTGGCAACAGTTAGCAGGATAAGAAAAGTGCGAAGATGCAAAGATGTGCAAATATATAATATAAACGTTTTATTTTGTGAATAATATTATTTTGTATGTACATTACATTCATTCTACGTTGAACTGGTAAGCTAAATTAAAATAATTTTTTTTGTTAAATCTTACATAATATGTTTCAATTATATTTATATTACTAACGTTCGTAGGAAGCTCAAATACGCCACGCTAGTTTTCATTACCTAAAAAAACATATTAACAAACACAAATAATATATTCTTTCTACTTTAATAATTTGGTTTTTTTTATAATTTTTTATAATCCATTATTTAACACTATTAATATGAATATTATATAATCATAGAAATATTCATTCATTTTCTGTATAATGTCCGTCTTACAAGTTTAAAATTTTGAATATTTTTCAAATATTGAAATAGACTGGGATATTGCATAAATATATAGAATATCTCACATTTCCGAAGGTCGTTAGTGATAAATCTACCATTCTACCAGCACTGATTTTTATAGGATGACTGGACATCGCTAGTATCAACAAAAGATCGCGAGCTGATCTTGGCGATAATTCATACCAGTTAATTAAATAACATATCGATCCAATGTAACTACTCTGCAATATCAGTTTTGAACAATTATTTAATTACGATTACAATTACAACCTATTTTGACGTAAGTTAAGTAAATATTATTACCTTTTCCATGAGAAGTTCACCAATGTAGCATAATATATAAATATTGAAGCAAAATGACACAAAGAGCATAAGGTAAGTCACTAAGCCAATTTTATCGTTCGCTTGCCAATCCTACCAAAGTTTAAGTAGCAAATGTAATTTTATAAAATAATTTTATAAAATAATCTTTTGTTAAAAGAATTGTTGGATTTTTTTGGTCCTTAGTATATATTAGCGCACCACTATACAGTAGTATTCGAGCAGACATATCGTGCATAGAGAACTAGTGAATTCCACTAAACACACTTCTTGTAAAAGTTCCTCTACTACGGCTGCAAATCTGGAATGAGTCACTCCAGTTTGTACAAAATAACTTGACTACATTGTCTTGCCTATTCTTAAAATATAAAATGTTTAAAACTGCGATATATAATTGCATAAGACAATGCATGCTTATAGTTTGCACATTATCTAACGCATAATAACACCGCTCATTGTATTTGAAATCACCTGTTGCATTTATTCTTCCGTCACGTTTAATATATGTTCACATATAGTACAACAAAATAAAAAAATTAAACAAATTATGTAAACGAAATTATATATAATGTTAACTCTTTTGGTACAAAATTAAATCGGAAAATTTTTTTGCTAAATTAATTATATTTATTCAACTGCAACTATAGGAATAGCATTGTGAACATTTTGTAATAACTAGTATTTTAAAATATTTTTTTGTAATTTTTTTAGGCTGCAAATTATTAAATTTCTTAGTTGCAAGTTTTAATTCCTCATATCGATAAATTAAATTCCTCATATCGATACTGTAAAATTTTAAAAGAATTATCAAGCGAGTTACCTTATTACTTTTATGTGGTTCTTCACAATCGTAGCGATTCGATAATGAACATACGGATTTTGCTTGAATTTTTTTCCAGTTAATAGATCTTCTAATCGTGATACGAGCACTTGAATTTGGCCACATGCATGAGTGGCGAACAAAGCGGCCATTCCACATGTGCCAGCTGTCACTGAGTATATAGTGTATCCGCACACGCAATGAACCGCATATACAATTTCGTATATCGGACTAATCTGAGACTGTCGAAATCCGCTGTAAGTCGGATACACGAGCGGTCTGATAGTTTGATTGTTGATTTTATGTTCAGAACAGAACGGTAAAATAAGATGATAAATGATGCCCGCGGTGTACATGAAAGATGCGCTGATTATCGTCAGCCTGCGACCGGTGGCAGCGTACCTCAGCATTTGTTCGCGATCAGACTCGAATGTTACCTGTCACAGTATTGCTAATAGCTTTTATTTATTTATATAGAAAAAAATTTATCTCAAATATCATTCCAATATTTATCTCAGATTATTATGAACATTTATCAATTTAACAATTTAATTTTCTCTTTTCGAATCAAATTACGCAAATGAAGAAATATTAATTATGAATATTAAATTAATTATAAACGCATTTTGACTTATTAAATATAACAATTATCACTTTTTGTAGTTATATGATATACGCATTTTTTAATCATCGATAAGAATTATAGTTTTTAGAATGAACTTAGAATTAAAGTTACTTTAATCACATGGGTTTTTTTTATCCAAATTATTTTTTTGACGAAGTTTATTACACCAGGGCGATACATCAGTTATCACCGACCTGCCACCAGTCGTTCTTCACGTATTCGATGCAACGCAGTATCTTAGGACGACGTATCACAAGGATGGAATACTTCGTCATAGCGGTGAGACAGAAGGCCAGCAGGCCGAAGAGCTTCAATCTTATGATGATGTCCTTCTGATCGTAGACTATATGCAGGGCGCAGGGTATCATCGCGAAGCTCAACGCGAGATTGCAGATCGCGATTGCGATCTTGGATACATGTCGTCCGATGCCTCGGATCGCGACTGGCCAGATACCGAGCGAACTCAGAATCCAGGTATTCAGCTTAAAGACGTATTGAATATCTCGTTGATAACTGGAATTCTGTAACGTCGCAGGCTCATGGTGTATACTGGACATGTTCGCGGCAACAGATTTCACTATAGACTGTATAAGGTGGACGCGCGGCATTGATTGCAAGGTCGTGCGCTTGCGCTAGCATTGCAGACGGTCCTCTCGCAATACCAACGATAGTCAATGACTGACAGATCGTGCATGCATGTACTGTGAACTGTGATACATTTTATACCCCGGAAATCAAAATATTGTTGTTTCATTTACAGTTTTTCGATCGTGATTAGTTATTTGAAATCAAGTAAGTTTGACAAAATTTAAAAAAGTATTTATAATTTTTTACTTTATTTAATTGGCAAAGATAAATCAACTCTGCGTTGTGAAAATAAAAATTATAGAAATTATAAATTGTGTAGGATGATTCAACGGCGTAATGAACAAGAAAAAGGAGGTGGAATAAACAGTTCCTCTTTGATATTGATGTAGTATTATTTTATATAATATGATATATATCACGAATCTAATTGAACAGTCTATATATAGTTAGATCAAACTCAAAATACTTTTTAATATATCTGTTATATAAATATAATTGATTTACATGACTAACGTCCGCAGGAAGCTCAGATACGCCACACTAGTTTTCAGTACCTAAAAGAATCATATTAGTATGATGGTGTTTTTTGGTCATGGTTTAGTTTCTTAATGTTTAGAATAAAATCTATTGATAAATTCATTACATAAGAATAATATTAAATAATTTTGACGACATTAATCTTTTTCGCAGAATTTACTCCGAATTTTGTTTTAAAGTCAAAAATAAAATATAAAAATAGAGAGGAAGATAAAATTAATAAAAATATAATGTCTCACGTTCCCAAAAGTCGATAATGATAAATCTGCCATTCTACCAGCACTAAGCTTTATGGGATGGCTGGACATAACAATAATTAATATCAGACTGCGAACTGATCTTGGTGATAATTGATACCACTTGATCATATAACATATTGATCCAATTTGACTACTCTGTAACATCGGTCTCAAATTATTTAATTATTTAATTATGATTATTGTGTATTTACAGTGATCGAATTTTAATTATTTTAAAAATTTAATAGTTGCACCTTTTCCATGAGAAGTTCGCCAATATAGCATAATATGTATATATTGAAACAGAAAGAGATGAAGAGCATGAAGTAAATTGCTAAACTAAGCTTATTGTCGTCTTGCCAATCCTATTAAATTATAAATCGCAAGTATAATTTTTGCAGGATTTTTTATTATTAATTATCTTTTTTTTTTCTTTTTGAATATACGATATATATTAACGCACCACTATACAGTAGTATTCGAGTAGACATATCGTGCATACGGAACTAGCAAATTCCACTAAACACACCTCCTGTAAAACTTCTTCTACCACAGTCGAAAATCTGGAAATAAGTCACTTTAATTTTTACGAGGAAATTTGAATGCATCTCCTCATATATTCTTACTCTAATATAATTATGTTTAATTGATATCAGATATATAATTTAGGTAAACGTAGACCGGCAAATAATGTTTATAGTTTGAAATTGTTTGATATATATACGACACCGTTTATTGAAAGAAAGCTTGTAATAGAAGCTTGAACCACCTGTTGCATTTCATATTATATTCTTTATATCCTTTACACAATGAAATGAGAATAACTGAACACGTTTTAAACAAAATTATATAATAATATAATGTATTCATCTTATCTTAAACTAAATTAAGATATGACAAAATGAATACACATTAATTCTTAGCTAAATTAATTATACTAGTTACTTTATAAACAATACTATATGTTAAAACAGCTAGTTCAGCTAGATTTTTTCAAAATTAAATATTTTCAAAAGCTCTTTTATCAGTTATAAACTATTAAACTAATTAATTAAAAATATTTTATAAATGCAGTTTTAAATTTATTCATATCATTAAATTAACATAGACTTTTAAACTAACACGAGCTGAGTTTGAACTGAGTTTTGAATTATTACCTTATTATGCGAACATGATCCTTTACGATGACAGCAATTCGTTGATGAATGTTCGGACTTTCATCATTTAAAAGTTCTTCTAATCGCGATACGATCACCTGAATCTGGCCACATGCATGAGTAGCAAACAGGGCGGCCAATCCACATGCACCAACCGTGATCGAGTACATGATGTATCCGCATATGCAGTGAGCCCCATACACAATTTCGTATATCGGACTAATCTGGGATTGTCGAAATTCACTGTAAGTCGGATATACGAACGGTCTGACAGTTTGATTGTTGATTTTGGTCTCGGAAAAAAACGGAATCAGAATCATGTAATATATGATACCGGCAGTGTACATAAAAGATGCACTGATTATCGTCAGATTGCGACCGATGGTAGCATATTTCAGCATCATTTCGCGATCGGATGTGAACATCACCTGTCACAATATTGATGCTAAATTTTATTTACAGATAAATGAGAGATCACCATCAATTATTTAACTATTTAACTATTATTTTTT